TAGAAGAAGCTCTTTTTCGGCTCCTACAAAGTTTGTTCCGTTGTCCGACCAAATCATTGAGGGTGTTCCTCGCCTAGAAATAAAGCGCTCGATAGCCATCACACATGAACTTGTGTCCGTGGATGGAACCAACTCAATGTAAATTGCACGAGTCGTTAAGCAAGTAAATAGAAAACCCCAGCGTTTCTCGGAAGATCGACGAATGGTTACATGAAATGGTCCAAAATAATCGACGCCGCAGTTCGAGAACGGTGGCTGGCGGTAACCTAGACGCTCAGCGGGAAGGTCAGACATCATTGGAGTAACGGTTTTTGCTTTTCGCTTTCTACAGCACACGCAATGTGCTTCAATAGCTCGTAGCGCAGATCTTAAGCGTAGTACAACAAATTGCTGATGAATGACGGAATGAAGGTAGTCGACTGACTGATGTTCGTGCTTAATGTGATAAAAACGGAGAAACAATCGGATTAGGCGATGGCGGCTATCCAAAATTATTGGATGGCGAGTTTCAAATGCGGTTGCAGAGAGACGTTGGATACGGCCGGTAGATCCAATTAAACCGTCCGGCCCCATAAAAGGCGAATACGATGATATACGGCTTGATGTTTTTCACATATTTTCCAGCTACTAATAGTTATACTTTCAGCTGGGAATGACTCTAACTGCGAAAGTTGCAAAAGTTTTTCCTCTGAAATGACAAGTTCTGTTGGATCAATTATGGCTTATCTGCTGATCTGAAATGTCTATGCTTAGGTGAAAGTTTCAACATATATGCGACCAGTCGCTTTATTTCGGAGAACGAGCTATACTCTTCTCAAGGGAAGATAAAGTCAGTCGAAACTGCAGTGCACGGAAAACTGGAAGAGACCTCTAAACCCTCATTTAGATCGTAGAACGGACCATCCAGGCGAATTTTGTCAGTAACTTCCCTATTTGGATTGAAAGGCCAATCAGAAATTTTCAAAAAGGAAGGGCCGTTTACCCAACTGCTTTGCTTGAGGGAATCAGCAGTAATACCTCTAGTTCCTGTGTCAGCGGGGTTGTCTCCAGTCAAAACATGGAACCATTGGTCAATTGATGTTGACTCCAGAATCTAGGCTACTCGGTTGGCTACAAAGACGGGATGTTTGCTTGTCGAATTCAACAACTGAAGGACTGTTGTGCTGTCAGTCCACATGAACACTTTGGAAATACTAAGTGTCAGAGCTTTCTCGATATCATCCTTTAGGCGACTAGCAAGAAGTGCAGCCTGAAGCTCCAACTTCGGAATTGAAAGCATCTTCATCGGGGCTACTCTTGCTTTACCGAAGACAAATGCTAGTTGAAATTTGGAATAGGCGTTTTTCTGAGCTCGAAGGAATGCTACAGAACAGAAAACGTCTAATGAGCTATCACCGAACATGTGCAGCTCAACCTCATCTACTAGGAAGTCAAAATAGCAACGAGGTATTTTGAGCTGCCCTAAAACTGGAAAGCCAGAGTGCCATTCAGTGAATCTGCGGCACAACTCAATTGGCAGTGGGTCGTCCCACTGTTGGCCACTCAATCTCCAGATATCTTTCAGTAGCAAACGTGCGCGTACGGTGTACGGGGCGACAAGGCCTATGGGGTCGAACACGGAGGACACAAAACTAAGGACCGATCGCTGCGTAACAGAGTCTTTGAGTTCGCGGTTGACTCCTCTGCTCACAACCAACGTATCGGTGACGTGGTTCCATTTGAGACCGAGAACATGCGATCCGGTTTCCGGATTAATCGCAGCGGTAATAATTTCCTTACTGTTGTTAGCGCTGGTCTTAGGGAGATTTAGTTTCGAAGACAAATTGGGAACGTTGCTAACTTAAGCAGTTCAACTAAACTGCGACTTAACATTAAAGCAGTTTCTGGGTTTTTCACAGACTCAAGGAAGTCATCCATGTAAAAATTGTTTAGCACGGCATAAGCGGCATCGGGGTATCGATCTTGGTTATCGACGGCTGTTCGGCGTAGAGCATAGTTAGCACATGTCGGAGAATCTTT